ATGCGAGGTCGAAACTGCAGTCCACTGGTGCCTGGATGAGAACAACTTTTGGGAAAGCAAGGCAATTTGAAATTCAATGGAAGCGTCAGCTCTACTCATGGCATTGTGTGACAATTCGACCACCAGTCCTTCATCGCCTTATACGAAATGGGGTGAATGCATCTCATATTACTGATATACTGGTAGTCTAGAAACTCTACTTACATACGAAAGATAATTATCCAAACCACTCTATATTCATCTATCTAGGTTTTTAATTTTCTTTTGGCTTAATTGAGTCTATAAAGATAGAGCCGCATAGTCTTCTTGCCCTATTGTTAACGTGAGAGTTTTACGGGAATGAGACCCAGCTCAGATGATGTCCATCATGTGATGGACGAAAGCTCGGCCCCTTTTCACCCAAAACGGGGGAGGAAGTCTTGTGGACTGTTTCAACTTGAACATCGTATAAAAGCCAAACGGCTGCAGTACAACGGGATTCATCTGTCCTCATATGGTGAGATCTACCAACGAATCTCTTCTTCATGCACTTTCATACGAAATAAAAATGTCCCCCCAACAATGTTATCTCAGGAGATTCATCGAAACCCAGTTTCTTTTCCTATCTCTAAAACTTGCATCTCTTGGGAGCAGAGTCTAGAAAATTAATAGATCCCTTCAAGAACAAACTGACTTAGTCCCAATAAGTTTGAAAAAGCCTTTTCGGTAAGAAAGTGAAATAATTGTGCAGCCATTTTTCTAAAGTAAAGCTCTGAAGTATGTGCATAAGCATGGGTAAGCAAAATTCAATTGTGTCAAATTAATTCATCCTGCTTAAATTTATAATTTTCGTGATTCATATTCAAAAAGCATATTGTGCGAAGTACAGAGTATTAGCTTGCATTCAGAGTAAGCAGAAGTAAGCTAACCTCCAAGATTTGATCTCCAGGGCGGAGCCGACCATCCTTTGCAACCAGGCCATCTTGGTAAATTTCTTGAATAATTAGGCACACCTAAAATAAAAAAGGTAAGAAAGTGAGAGGCGAAATAAAGATGGAAAAAATCAAAAATAAAAGAATATAAAAAAGTTGTTTGACCTTGTTTTTGCAACTCGGTCATATTGGTAGGAAGACTTAGAGGAACGCACCTAGTCCGGGGTCCATTGTATGCATCATCATTTCCAGTCGGACCGTGGACGTTCTACATTCCCAGACGTTTCGCCGGCATCGTCAGTGAGTCTCGCCATTCTTAGAACCACACAACTCGTCAAAGAGAAAAGTGAAGTCTATCCTTTGACCAAACGTGTGCTAAACAGTTGTGGTATCTCTGCTGCCCTGGGCTATTCACATTTCATATATATCCTCGTATCACGCCCTCACTGTTACAATTTTTGCCGTACTTATTTACATGTGTGCTGTGCCCTTTTGAACGGCATTCATGATAACCCTCCACACTCCACACTGGCGTTCTCACCTCTTTTTCACCCTTTTGCGTGCGTGCGTGCTGTGTGAATGAATTTTTCTTGAAATGAGTGTGATGGAAGAATCAAAACGAGATTCGAGCCAAATCAAGTCTCGTACCCTTTCTCGGTGTTACTTCTCGTTTCACCCCTCCTCCCTCTCTCATTCTAATCCTATCAAATAGCGAAAAGTAATTTCTACTTAATTTTTTACACACATTCTTTATATTCAGGGTGTTTGTTGTTTCCCTAAACTTCCGCTTACCGCTTGGTATAATTCCCATATTTAGCTAAGCGTTTGGCATTAGACCAGTTTATCCGGTGTCCTGTACGAGCCAATTTCGATTTTTGACCCACAGAACATTGCAGGCTGTTTTGAGTTTGGGTAACCTCTAATGTGTGAGCATACATGTCTCTCCCACATAGGCGATACCGCATGAACACAAAATCGTATAAGAGCTCGATCTGGAGATATGGTCAGAGTATTATCTAAAAGAAGGCAAAACCGAGGAAAGTGTTGTTTTTATTTATAAACGGTCCAGGTGCCCCATCTCCCAATTAATTCGCATATCTTTTTCAGAAGATTACACGATGGTAACTAAGGCCTCTATTAGAGTGGTATAACCTTTTATCTAGCCCCAAATATGTATTTCCCTTAATCCTATTTGACAATATTATTAAATAATTGTGAATCTGTACTCGCGGATAATTATTCTTAACTAGTATCCTCCTTAATTTTCTAAATTCATGATCCCGGTGTTTAACATCCGCAAGAAGTAGGTTCCCTATTATCAAAGACCGCATAACTCCTGTGTTAAATCCGTAAGTGTGGTTGGAGAAGAAATTCAAAATGAAACCTGCATTTATGGGTTCCTTATGCATATGCCCATCTAATTGACAAGACTAAGGAGAATTCGGGTTGACAACAATTATCCACGATGGCTGATTGACAATAGTTTTATAATATTGTCAAATAGGATGAAGGGAAATACATATTTGGGGCTAGATATAAGGTTAGACCACTCTTACAAAGTCCTTATGTTACCATCATGCAATCTGTCGCAGAAGATAAGTGAATTACTGAGGTGGGTCATCAGGACCATTTATAAAGAGGAAATATCCCTTTCCTCGGTTCTGCCTTCTTTTAGAGAACACTTTGACTCTCTATCCAGATCGAGCTGTTACAAGATTTTGTATTCATGTGGTAGCGCCTATGTGGAAAAGAACTGTAGACCCTAACATAAGAGGCTATTCAACCCATTCGACTAAATCTACCAAGACAATCTCCTTACAGCTTCTGGTGAGACAAAATTACGAATCCCTTCCACTCGCCTCTTCAAATTAAATTAAAGGTACTTCAACATCAATCGATTAAGAGATTCTTAGAAACCCTGTTTTCCAATAAATACATATATATATATATTTTTATTTATTTATTTATAAACTCACTAAGGGTGTATCCAGTCCGCCAACAAAAGTGAAGCCCAAATCCATATACCGAGGTCGCCTTTTGATGGTCAAGCGAGACGGAACGCCTTCAAAAATTACGCCGTCATCTGAAGGAGTGAAAGAAAGCAAAAAAAGGAAGCAAACCGAAATAAAGTAAGGAGGCAAAATATGGTTCTCAAATCTTCAATCTCGTAATCCTACTAATTATTATTAATAAAACGTTTCACGAAAGCAAATTAAAAGGGTATTCGATTAAAATTGGCGAAGCATAAATCAAAATCCCTTAAGATTGGATTTTCGTATGATGCCTGTCTTCCGAGTATAGGAGATTAAAAACACCTGAAACTGGCAAGCTCTTGTGAAAAAATTTTCAACGTCGTCATCTAGGGCAGATTATAGTTTCACCCTCGCATAAGTCACATTACAAGCACAAACAGGACTCAAACTCACGACAGGCGCATTCAGGGACACGCACATACCCATTAAGATATTAAGAGACAAGAAAGATATGAAGTCCAGAGTAAGTCAAGTTACCTGTGGCCTAATAGCTCACTACAACACTATCACTACACCCAACTGGTCAATCTTCCTACTCCTTTAATCTGAATGATCTTAATCGAGGAAAGCAAAATTTAGCAAAAATAAGGAGGCGGAAGTGGGGTAGCACAAAAAAGTTTTAAAATGAAGAGAGTGAAAGCAACGAAAACTAATAATGCCATCTTTTCTAGGCCTTATGGATCTGTTGTTCCAAAAATCGTAATTTTTTTTCACAGTAAATGGTAATCAGAATCCCTTCTACTTATCGATACTATAAAGGCATAAAGATTAATCTGAGATAATGGATTAGGCTAAAAGCATCATTCCGAAAAAAATTCATTTCGACTTTTTTTCAATATTAAGTAGTTAACTAATCCGAACTTGTGGAAAGAGACCCATTCTGAAAATCTACTAGGCCTCATAAAAATGTAAAGAAGAGTCCAAGCTGCTCAAGGCATGCTTCTGTCCGCGACTCGAAGGTCAAGCGTCTTTCCTACAAACCATCGGGCTGGCTCCTCTGCCTGATGAGGGGAAGTCGGAAATGTAACGGTTGCGCATCATGTTCCTGTTGTTGTAGAAACTGCAGGCGGTGCCGGTGATCGTGGTGGTGTTGGTAGTGTTGGGTGTGGTCTTGATTATGATGCTGCTGCAGCAGGTGGGGATGTTACCTATACTTTCGCTTTCGAAACGATCAGTAATTATTGAATAAGAACTTGGTCACTCCCGATCGCATAAGCTGACTTAAACACTGATAATGGAGCTATTTCCATTAGAAATTAATGATGGTTGCGAAAAATATCAACTTTACGTATGAGTAACAACCATGCAAAGTAGTTTAAGGATGGACAATGGAGTTACTCATATTCGAAAACGTTGTCGATTCTAATGTTAAATGCATGCTTGCCTTATCGAAACTCCCGCTATAAATGTATTTTGGGAGAAGCCGGGCTGCCTCTAAAGCCAAGTGTCCAGCGCACTGATAGAACGTGGCAATCATTCGCAAGATCCAATTACTGGTCCAGTTAATGGCGACCTAGGCGATCATCAACACTTGAATCACCTTAAGAGACAACAAGTGATTAATTCATCATTAAAGAGTTATTGATAGCTTTCAAACTTACTCACATTAAGGCAGAAACCTAAAAGGTTCACCCAAACTAACTAAACAAGATACTGGCCTACTTTCCATTTCGTTTGAGAAGGCGGGTTGAAGGGATTCCTAGATTGGCCTCCAGGAAGGCAACCTGAACTTTTGTCTGATGAATTGTGCGAAGACTTTGGCTCACCATCCTACTACCTAGGTGACTCTGTGCTGAGCTTTCGTCCGTCATGTGACGGACATTGTCAGAGCCAGAAAAATCACGAAAAATCACCCAAAAATACTAGGCTAGGAAAGGTGAGACAAAGGAAATAAAGGGTATGCCAGTATCAATCTACTAAAGGATTTTTAAAACCCAAACAAGAATGTACCAAAGAAATTAATTTAATGAACTTTTATATATTCAGCGTAGAGAGCATCCATGCATAGTGTTAAGTGCATTTGTAGACAATGGTTATGTATTCAGGTCGGATAAATGCAGTGATAAGCGATTCAAAAAACTCGAAACCCCGTTGGATGATGTGGCAAGGAGTTTAGAAAATAGGTGTTAAAATGTGTTAGTAAGGGCATACATACCAAATGGGTCCAGGTTTCTTGGAACGGAGGGAGGGTGGAGTTGTGCCGGTCGATTTGTGCCTAGTTCATCCTCGCCGCTTGTGTCATCTGAGGTCTCAGGTGAGAGCGACGGAAGATGCTCTATACGACCAAGATGTGTGTTCAAATGAGCCGTATGTGCAGCAAGAGGACCTATAAATCGACAGCCGAGCCAATTAGCATACCGGCATGGCTGGATTGCACCACGGCATTCCAGGTTCAGGTGATCCGATAGCTTAAAACGTGGTACCAAAGCTTCGCAGTAGTCAGCATTGGGGCAGATCACCATAAGTTTGTCCAGTAAGCTGGATGGGTGTTAGAAAAGAACGGAATGCTGAAAGGCTAAAGCATATGCTCCAGTAGAAATTACTCGGCAAAATATAAATAATCAAGTTATGTTTGTATGGTACAGCAAAGTAAGAAAATATGAGCAAAAGGTGTGCAATAGTGGATGCGATGAATGATTAAAATAAGAAGTAATTAACAAGAGGAAAACCCTCCTGGTGTGAAATAAGTGCTATTGCTGATCAGGAACATCTAATCTCACACGCAAAGCATTGTCAGTTCATAAATTCACCTTTGGGAGAGATTTCGCTATTTTCATCGAAAGACACTTAGGCAGATATCAAGGAATGACACTGGTCCAGTCCTCCGAAGTAGTAGTCATGACAATTGCCAACTTCGAACCAGCTTTAGCAGCAAGATAAAGGAAGTCGAAGAGACAAGAGAACTTTGGACAAGGTGCTTTCATTGAAGCCATACTGACAGTGCGACCAAGTTACGAAAACGGAGTCAAACGACTTGTATGCAACGAAAATGGATTGCATCAAATATAGAGGTCACACCATATTTATTTTTACATATGTGATGAAAAGAAACTCATAGATGTGAAGACCAAGATTTTATGTCTTTGGTTTTGATCGCAGCTTGCTTTTGCAGCGTGTAACTGATCTGACCTAAGTCATAATTCTTTCTAAGAGAAAGCATAAACTCAGGAAAGTGTCAGAGTTTCTTTGAAAACTGTGTCAATCCCCATTTTCTTCAATAGTTTTCTTATCTTCTTAAAAAGAAAACACGACGGCAAGGTTAGAACATGATAAAAAGTCTGGGCTTGCCTATCTCTGACCAAATAGTCTCCGCCTGAAAATTTATTCATCAAGAAATATATATAATTATCAATTAAGCCCGAAGGATAATTAATATTCGGGAATAAACCTTTCATGCTTCTTTACTCTTCGGCCAAATGATATTCCTCCGCAAGCCTCAGACTCATAATAATC